CCCCCCCCCCCCAAGTCAGATGCAGTTTATCCAGAATTCTCTGCCAAAGGGATGAATCAGTGAGAAACCCCAGGCATCCCTCCTTCACCCAGGACTATGCCAAGGCAGTCTCCAACAACAAACACGACAAAGCCTGCCAAAACTCCCCATGTTTCCAAATGGCATTCTCGCCAAAGCCACCACCACCAACTGCTGGAAAACTGAGTACTGTTTTACTGAGTGCTAGCTACAGCCAACAAGTGGGTACTTCCAAAAGGTTACTTCTATAAAAAACAAACGGGAAAAAAGAACTAAAGAAGACACCGAGGGACACCATATTCCACTGACGCCCATTTTGATTTCTTTTGAGGCCCAAACACAGAAGTTCGTGAATTCATGGCTAATAAAAATATTCACCACCTGTTGGAGCCTTTCAACGCTGGGCACTGTGCTAAGCACTTTACAGACATCACCTCATTGAATCCTTTTCTAGAGGGCTATGAAGTGTGCATTTCCCCTAATATCTCCGTTTTCCAGGTGATGAAACTGAGCCTGAAAATTTAAACATCTTTTCCAAGGTCACACAACTGAGATTATAGTGGCATGCGTAAGGAGACCCAGCTCCCCTGGGCTTTGAAGCTCTAAGAAACATTTAAAGATGCTAACGATTTTGATGGCAACGTTTGCTGTGAACGTGAAATGATGTGTGTCAATCTTTCGGTCTCCATGGTTTATGTGTTAGAGCAGCATTTTTCAAACTGTCAGTTCTTAACCCGTTAATGGATCAAAACTGACCTTTTTTTTTTTTTCTCTTCCAGAAATTGAATAGCAAACATCAGAGTGCAAAGTATAGTTCTATGAAATTTTTGCTTTGGTTACGTATAATTGTACCTTAAGTTACAACGTAAAACATATTCCTTCCTGTAGGTACTGGAGCACCACAGCAATTGCTGGCTAGCATCAGTCATTCAACTGATCCCCCGTGATAGAAGGCACATCTGTCCAGAGGTTCCAAAAGGGAGCAGATGCTTTCAGTACTAACCAGTTCTACCGCTCACCCTCCCACCCTGACAAAACCCATGTGGCCATTAACTATGCTCTGTGGGGTAAAGGTAAGTCTCTGCGTACCACCTGCTCATCTTCTTTCGTCAACATTTTATTATGAAACATGTCAAGCAGGGAGCAAATTCACTTTAAATATACTTGCTTATCACCTATTAACCTCTCTACGCATCTATTACTTTTTGTATTTTGATTGATTTTTAAATGTTTGCTTATTTTTGAGAGAGGGAGAGAGAGAGCACATAAGCAGGGGAGGGATAGAGAAAGAGACAGAGACAGAATCTAAAGCAGGCTCCGGGCTCTGAGCCGTCAGCACAGACCCTGACACTGGGCTCGAACCCAAGAACGGTGAGATCATGACCCGAGCCGAAGTTGGACGC